GCAATCTGGGCGTGTGTGGGCGTGTGTGCTGGTTAATGGCATCCCAGCGCAAACATAAGCAAACCAGGTTGGAAAAGCAAAATAATGAAAGGATTTATGATTTAGGTAGTTTGCTTTTATAGATGATTTATTTCTCTCATGAATTATAAATGTTTGCACATGCTTTTTTTAATCAATATTTTAATTTCTCTTAGGTAATTTGCCTATTTTATGATCGTAAAGCATTTATGTCATAGTGAAACGTTTACAAAATATTTTGTCATGTTTGCAATCATAAATAAATTTATATGTATAGGACACCTTCATATGAAGGTCTGCATGATATTAGGTGTTTTCACACCTCTCTATCCTTCCTGGTTTGCTTTGATTTTTGATTGATGATCAAGAAGGAAAGTCCTTGTGAACTATCTACAATTATCTCTTTTCATTTGTTTTGGCTGCTACCAATACTAGCCTGTCTTTCAGTATTCACTCTAAATCAGAACATCCAACTTAGTTGATCCAGCCTGAGATGCTGTAGGAATGGGGCCGTACAGCCCTTTTATCATAGGGATTCAAAATAGGGAGGTGGGAGAGGCATGTTTTTCTCCCCATTACTTTACCATTTACCATAAAGGAGGAAGGTTGGGACTTGGAACTGGCCCAATAATTAGTCAATTCATGTAAATAATTAGATTATCGGCAAGAATATGTTCCCAAATTGTCCCTAGTAGGGACAAGCCCACCAGCCACACTAGAGTGGAGAATATCATCTTTTTTTAACTACCATGCACAGCCAAGCCATGTTATTGATAGAGAGGAATTATCTCTTTGGCTATAAATCATGCTAATGATTATAACTAGCAGATAGATGAGTATTTCTTCTCCTTGGACAATTTTCATCTTTTGTGTAATGATTGAAGAGATCATTGTTCTTAGCAACTTGTAGATCGTAAACTACTAGTGCAAGATATTTGCTTAAACCTAAGTCACTCATCTAAGTTTGAGATGGGATATCACAACTTTTCTGCTCTCAAATCCTTGATGCTTTTGTAGGATGTCAAAACCTAAATCCAAATGGATCACTGATCTCCTTCCTTTAGAATCTATGAAATTGCCCCCTATCTGATGTCAATTCATTCTGCCTTGGAGCCAACCAACGGGCCTCTCTCTGCCCTCAAACTTAACAAATTTGTGCTATACAATAAAAGGTGAAGTTATTGCTAGAATTTTGTCAAGCAGAATCACCAACTTTCTCCTAGCATGCTGTGCAGTAATTCAAGGAGGTACTTGTTTGTTACTGCATTGACAGCTAATTGTTACACATAATTAAATAAAATACAGGAATGTGATTTTTTTTTTAATCTCACAATTAATCATTAACTGTGTCAATTCATGTGAAATTAATTTTTTTGGGGTGAAATTGAGGTAGAAGTGGATTAAACGAAATTTAATATGATTTATTAATATTGTACAAATTTAAACCGATATCACAAATTATTATTTTAAAATAAAATATTAAGGAGAAACTATTAGCATATGCATGGGAAAACCTCTAGTTTCATTAATAAGCTCTTTTATTCTATTTAACATAGTAAGATAATAATTAAAATATAGTAAAGATTTAATATTTTTATTATTATATTTGTGTTATATTACATTATTTATAAAGTATTAATACTAAAATAACCACGAGTTTATCCAAACCTGGATCTGAACCTGACCCAAGCAATCTGACATAAAACATGTTAGGTTTGAAAGAAGAATCCAAAGAATGAGGGTTTGGGGATGAAAAGGTGGAAATTAGGGCTTTTGGGGGCTGTTCTACTGGTATAGTGGTAACTTGTGAACAATACTAATGAAGAATAAGAACAAGAAAAGGAGGACGTGGTTTTCAGCACTGTTACTGTTTAGTGAAGCAGCATCAAGCACTTTAGAGAGGAAGATAAAGGAGGACAACAAGAAGAATAGAGAATCAGCTACCTTGCTCGGGATTACCATGCCTTCAGGCTTGTGAACTCATATTATTCAATTCTGCTTTTTAACTTAATTACTAGTATATAGTGCAAATCATCCTAATCCTCCTAAAGCTCAACTAAGATAAACCTAATCTAAGATAAAATAAATGATAATTCTAAGATAAATTCTGGCTATAAAAAACAATTCTTAAAACCTAAATGCCTATATAAAGAAATCCTAAGCCAGTCAAAATACTAAATAATAAATATCACCTAAGCCAATTAAAATACTAAATAATACATATGAAACCAATTAAATTTCCAATATACTAAAAAGTCCTAAACTCTTGCAAATTGGACTCTTTCAGTTCTATAACACAATCCCTGGCCTGACCTTGACCTACAACTAGGTGGATTTGGGGAATGCAAAACCTCATACTTCTTTGCCCTGTTGTCATGCCTAATCTCAGGGTATGGACAACATTGATGACCCATTTGTGTCTTAAGCCATTTTTCTCTGCCTACAAATTGGGGCGTCAGAAGGCCACTAGCTTCCTTCTAGTTTATCCTCAGGCAGCGGTTCGACAAGTACTTTCACTAGTGGTTATGACTTCTACGATTTTATGACCCAAAAGACTATTAGCTCTAGCAATTTGTTGAATTTAGATCACTGGTCAAAAAGTGCTCAAGTCCAAGTTTAGTAGTGGCTCTCAAGAGTCTATTAGGCTCCCATTCTAACATGGGATTGGATATCAAAATTCAGCTTTCCTCGATTAAATGTATGTGCTTAGCAAATGCAAGACAAGAGAACAACTACCTTTGGGACAAATGTTTTTAAAAACTATATGTAATTTTGCTTATTAATGATCTAAAGCACTTGTCTGCCATCATATATAATGTTTTATAAGTAAGACGTGAATGTTTGCAGGCTTCATACATTCTTCCAGTAACAAGTAGTTCTAGGGCCATTCTTTTTCTTCTGTAGAAAATTGTTAAAATCACTTTGACTTTGGATAGTTTGGATTGGTATGTATGGTTGAGGCAAGCTGAAGGTACTAAACCATCATTTTACATTTTGTGATATGCTTGCGCTGGTTAATATTTGCATCTTATGTTATGTTATGGACACATGCAGTTATCTTCTCTCTCTCTCTCTCTCTCTCTCTCTCGTTTCACATGTATGTAAGCACTGTTTACTAATTGGTTCTGGCTTATAAGTTGCATCATCTCTTGTATACCTTTATCTTATGTTTAACATCCTCATAACGTATTTTTTCCATTCTAATGTAGTACTCAGGATATGAGTATAAAACCTACTGTTGCCCTTAGGGCAATACTTGTCGGAGGTGTAGCAGCATTTGCAAAAATTGCTGGTGCAATGAAGGCTGCTGGTGGTGCAAAGATGGGTGCCGCAGCAGCTGCCATGACAGCTGCAGCAACTGCAGCTATATCTTCTGGATCAAAACAGGAAGCAAATAATCCTTCCAAGTGACTTTTATGATAGAAATAATATCTTGGTTAATAATGCAAGCAAATTAAGCTGGAGATCTCAGTGGGCTTGTCGAGGATATTGCTTTGCGTGCGTAGATGTTCATTTCCCCACTAGGCCCCAGCCCCCGGGATGGAAGATGTAGTTGTACAATTTTAATTATCTTAGTCCTAGGATTTTGTAAACTTAAAAGTAAGAAGGTTGGAATTTGATAGACCTCAGATAGAGGGGTCAAATGTTCCTCATGGCAGGCTGGGACTTGGATATTCAAGATTGGATTATTATCATTTAATTTTGCTAAGCTTACTTTTGCTCATTCAAATGTAAGACTATTGAAGATTGCTACTAAATAATTTGGGATGAGTGTACTAAATTAGTTGATTGGGCTCAACAAGAAGTTACAAACAGTTTCTGTTTATACACACTTTTTTTTAAGTGCTTTTGTATTGTAACAAACACAAGGTATTTTTGTAAAGGGTAACATGCAATTTCTAGGTTTGAGAATTTTTTAGCCGATTTTTTTGTACTCAAGTTTGAACCCGGAACTCTGATTGGCTTTGTTAAGGTCGAGCTTGAGCCTCTCAAGCTCGTCTTACTTGAGCTAAACGTTATATTATTACTGGACAGTCTTTGTCCAAAAAAATAAATAATACATAATTCATCCCTAAAATAAATTGCTAAACATAGACACGTTTTGTTATGAAGGAGCTTGTATGCTAGAATAAAAACATATCCGTGCTTTCCCCTGCAAGTTATAAAGATAAAGCGCCACGTAAAGGATCAGCTGCCAGCACTGAACTATCATTTTCTACAGAATCAAAATAATGATTCATTGATGAAAGAAGCAATGGTATACAAACTATCTCTAAAAAAGAAAAGAAAATTAATTTATCTATTCTGGTTCTGCTGGCACTTTGAATACATTTTTCTCCAGCCAAATCGTCATCCACAAGACTGGGAATGTGAAAAACAACAATTTCCAGCACATTAAGCTTGAGCTCTAGACTAAACAATTGGATCATATTTTTCTCTTGTTTTCATTGTGGTTCTATCTCTCTCTCTCTCTCTCTTTTTTTTTTTTTTTTTTTGCCTTGTCCGATCAGTAGATAATCGTACATGGGGTTCAAAGTTGGTGCACCATTGAACTGCTTGAACCACATATGTAGTCTGGTTGATCAACAGAGCTAACCACAAGCTCAGGATTTGGAGACTCCAGCTCAAGTATGACCTGAGGTAACCATAAAAAAAATTAAAGTAGTGACAACACAAACAACTGAGAAATTGCAAGTAATGTATAATTTTAGAAGCAGTTAAGCATTTAGAGGAAAGTAAAGAGTTTCTTCAGTGGCCAATCTTCCTTTCTTCTTTCTTGCCTTCAATAATATATGATTAAATGTGATTCAGAAGTAAAGGAATCGCAGATTGGAGAACAATAGAGATGATTCAAAAAAAAAATAAGAAGAATTCTGTGTGATACACTCTTATCTTGCATTTCCTACAACAGATTGAGGGTAACAATGCAGGTCAAGTATTCTCTAGCACTTTATCAGGTTCACTTGTACACATTCAGCATGTCAATTAACCCTTTGAAGTTTACAACATGATGATGGCCTCCTCTTTTCAATCATAATTGAGAATATAAGTAAATTTAACAATAAATCAGAGTTTTTTTTTTTTAAAATACATACAATGCTATAAACTTTATGGATAGAAGATATGAAGAACTTGAAAAGATAAATGCACCAACAATCCAGGAAAAAGGAAATCTACAAATGATGATACCATTCACAAGCCAATGAATGCAGTAGAAAATGTCAACCTTCTACTCACCTGACTAAAGAATATGCAAATCATTATTTGGGAAATATATAAGAAAGCCCAGCCAAAAAGAAAAACACACTTATTCTTGTCCGAAATGGATTCCATGCAGTTAACTTTAAAATAAAAATGATCACAAGCTAGAAAAATAAAAATTTATATTCTGATACAGATATGAGAAACCAATTTTCACTGGCAACAGAGAACTCTTTAGTGTTTAAAAGAGAGAATTATGGGATTTGTCATCTCATACCACAACATTTTTTCCATGCCGAAGAATTGGAGCAGGTACGTAAAGGTTGCATTGTGGTCCAATTGACTGGAATAGTAATTTGAAAATTGTAAGCAGCAAGCATAAACCATGGACAAAATGGGAACAAAAAAAAGGTTCGATAAAAAACATCATTTTACCGGCCAAAATCTTCCAATGTTAAATTCATTGACAAATGCAACTCCTTTTCCCCAGGCTCTGAATGACAGGAATGTGTCTTCAAGTTGATGTGTGTTATCAACCATAAAATAACCAGTATAAAAAGCTGGTTCTTTTGAAGAGTTGTCTGCATTAATTGATAGTTGCAAATACAAAGGCATCAACCAGTGGCCATATATAGAAAGGAGTTAATTTGATATGACATTTTGCATGTCACTGTTCTGCATGTTGATTTGTGAAATCTATGCAAATAAGACAAAAGAAGGAAAAGAAACAATGTTCTATAGGAAAGAAAAGAGGGGAAAAAGGAAAGAAGTCAAAAGTTCAGTAGAAGGGAAAATTTGCAATGTTTAAGTAGTAAAGTGTAAATGTATTTTAATCACCTTCCAATTTTTGGTAAGCAGATGTAATTAATTCAGAAAATGAAAAATTGATAATGGGATTGACTTTCTGCTTGTCATTTAAGTTCTGAAAAGGAACTGAGAATGTCTTCCACCCATGCAGAGATTTTCCATCTACATAAACAGAAGACAAAATGCCCTGTAGAAGGAAAGGAGACCATTCAGAAAGAATTAATATGCATCATATAGATTCAAACGAAGGAGAACTAATTCAAAAGGCAAAGATCTTAACAGTAGTGAAAGTTGAGTTCATTCAGATGCTTATTTTCAGTGGTCATAAAATTGACAAGGCATATACTTATATATATTATATATCTTGAGCTACACGACTTTGAGATAAACATTAACCAGTTCAAGCTTGAATGATACAACAGTTGAGCCAAATTCTACATTCTAGTTAAGCCTAAAGAATTGATAAATGGCTTCACTTGATTTTAGCCAACAAGCTGCCATTATATGCATCAAGGAATTGTCTTAGAAGAGAATGTTTCTAGTATCATCACCACTAAATAGGGGTATCATAATATGAGAATGCCACATGATGCTAATCCACCCACTGCCACTCAACTATGTGCCCTTCATAGGTATATCGTTCATATTTCATCTCTATAAAAGGCATCTCCTTTAAGGAGCTTGGGTTTTCTCTGTCCAAACCTCTACGACTACTCTCTTTATCTCTTCCTCTATCCAGACCACTTCCAGTCTTACCCAACCCATCTTATAGTGGTCAAGCACCAGGTCATGTTTACATGATTTCCAGGACACTCCCTTCACTCTCCATCTCACCTCCACCTACAAAGAACATTATCAAATTATTAATTTCATGGAAATGTGAGGATACAGGGTTTAAGACAAAAATATGGTAATTCTTGCTATTGGCCATATTTCAGTCTCAGAAATGGTAAGTAAGATGGTAACGATCCTAATTATCAGATTCTCATGATTCACGAAGTAGATTTTATGGTTTGACATGATTTTATAATTCGTTAATTTGAACATACAGATTAAATATTAAGAATGGTAGAATTTCACAATTCATTATTTGAAAATTAGTTCATGCCATTTGCAAGAGAAACTTCCAATGGTGCAAGCCTCACGCATTAAGGTGCCTTTTTCTATTTAGGGGAAAAGAGCAGTTTAATTGATCACGTTTTCCTTGTTAGTTAATTTGGTAATTTATTTCCTAATTCAAGTTTTCGTTCTCTTTATAATTATGCATCTAAACTTGAACAAAGACCAGTATGTCTCACACATTCCTAACTAACAGGCCCGTGCATGCTGCTCAGAATATATAACGCTACATAGGACCTAATTGTATGTGTTGGCTAGATGTCCTATGTCTGACATGTTGGGTGACCAAAACATCCCACAAAGAAAAACAGAGCTAAGATATGTCTCTGTTGTCTACGCGTATATATTTATACATTATCCTTTTCTAGGTCAAAATTTCAAAATAGCAAACAAAAATGCTTTCCACTTTCATATATCAAAATGACAACACTGTTCCAATGCAAATACAGTTATCCTCATAAAGGGCCAGCTGATTCAATTTTTTAGTTAGCAAGCAATTTAAAAGACTTCAATTCTGATATTCAAGCAACATAATGGATAACAACATAGCAAATGGTTTGGAACACCTATAACATATGACACCAAAATTAACATAATCTCTCGATTACTCCAAATCATGAAGAAAGCATAGCCAGAATTATTTATGCATTGAAAGCAATAATAGTTCATAACTAGACTCAGAATGACACCAATGATTTGTCTAAGATCAAATAACGTGGGAAAAATCACCTCAAGTACTGGAAGTCATGTGAACACATGCATCATGTATTAGTATACATATGTTCTGACAATAATATTACCTTTCTATCAAACAAGAATTTCCCATAATTTACACGGCCCATGTTCTCAACCTACAAATTGGGAAAAAAACAAAAGATTTACTAAATAAATACCAAATATTGACGTACAATATAAACTTGTTCGATGCAATTAAAGAAACAAAGAAATATGCAAAATGTATATGTTAAAATGCAGGTCTGATCTCTGTGGCTGTTCTATTTGCAAAGAACATCCCTTTCAATCTCCTTGAGTTGGATTGGAAGGACTCTGAGAACTTGATATTCTGACCACAAATCTTTTGGACTTTACAATTTTGAGAAGGCCTGCGTGACTTTTTGGTGTATGTTTATCTAATGACCTCTACATTGTCCATTATAAGGTACTGTTCAGCTAGTCCTGAAAGCCTCATGTTTTTGTCCAAAAGGCACTTCTCTATGCTGGGTTCCAACCCTTTACTAAATGGCTCAACTTCTTTTCCTCCCATTCCATTGTGGATAAATTCCTGCCCTCTTTGTCCTAGAAACCTGCTAGAATCCACTCCTTGATCAGGCACTTTTGGCCCCAGCAATCCACTTCCCACCCCCATACGACCTTGGTCATCACAAGCTCACCATTTCCACCTGGCTCATCCTCAAATCACATCATACTGAAGGAGGTCCAACTCTTGTATCATTTTTAACAACCCATTCCCTGTCCATAATGAGGTATTGTCTCCTTTGTTCCAAAAGGCACCTCACTATGGTAGGTTCCAGTCCCTTATCATATGGCTCAACAACTTTTCTCCCATTTTGATGTGGGATTTCACTTGCCATTACTGACACGTCCAGAGTTTAATTCTTGAGATTAAGGGATGGTGGTAGATCCTCCCATGTGTCTCTCTGTAGTCATATCCATAACCATTTTAGAGTTCAGTTTCCAACTGAATTTTTCTGAAACCCATACTTCAAGCAAAATTGAGACCTTCTTAACACACCTCAATATTCAGCCACCACAATAGACACTTCACCTCTATTTCTGATACAATCTCTAATTCAGTCCCTTCCTGTCAGAAGCTGCTCCTTGATCAAGGACTCTTGGCTCTGGCGAACTACTTCCTGCCCTCATTGGATCCCGGGTGTCACAATTTACCTCCTTAGAGACAGATATAGTTAGTGTTTTGTCAAAGCTTAGGCCCTTTGAATGCAGAAAATGTCTCCTCTCAAAGATAATGCCTCTATATATCTGCGGCTTGAGAAAGTTCATTGTGGTATTTGCAAGTAATTATATTAGTTGGCTCTAATTGCACCAACATGTCTTCTCATGATTTAGCAATGCAAATCAATTAGATTTTCCCACCTCTTGTAATTCCACACCCTTGACTTGAAGACATTTGATTGATCCTAATTAGACATGGATCAAACTTGATTTGGTTTGAATAATCCATGTCTTAAGCATGATTGCCTTGCATACTCTATATAACATTTTAATGTGCCAAAATACTATTTTTTACAGACATTTCAAAATTTTAGCATCTATAATACAACCTTACATTCCAAGACTGCACTTGTATATAGATCTAATTGGTTGACTCAGTTCATGCTCAAATAGAAACTAACAAATACTATGACTTTCTATTTGGATGATAAATACTGTTCAGTTTTGAGCTAGGACTACGTAAAATTTCAGTTCCCTTCCAATAAAAGGAATTATGTAGTCTTTCTGTTTTTCAACAATAAAAAGGGTTGGCCAAAAGGATCTGGTAACGCCACAGTCAAAGTTGATATTGATATGTAAAACATATTGCAAATCTCTAGACAACTGTCCTTAACAAAATGCAGGTCTTGATTCCTTCCACCAGCTTTCTTTCTCATTGGGCAGCCGATAAAAGTGAAAATTGTCCACTTATCCCATTCCTACAATCTAGCAAGCCTATGAAAAATTTTAAAACTGTTTGACATGGACAACTAAGAAGCATTGACATGGACATAGTGTTTGACAATACAAGGACACAAATACAGACATGGACATAGATACACTGACACAACAAGTTTGAAAAGAGAAGGATTCGGACATGGCATGGACATGACAGGTGCACAACTAAAAGATCTACATCATAGGAAGAATATTTTAAAATGACCAAAAATAACATAAATATCCAATAATAAAATGATTCATTGATTCTCAAACACTACTTAACACAAACCAAAACCACTATATATTTCTTTATTACTTTATTATATGTGACAAATGAATCTCATTTCTTATTATTTTTGCAAAAGATCAATGTTGGATGAACCTTTTTTGATATAGAAACGTGTGTGTCAAGGGGGTGAATTTTTCAGTTAATTCTCTGCATCCAAATTCAACACTCCATGTTGCACTTGAACACCTACAGAATGCCTAAGTCAGCCTCTACACTTACTTGACACTCTCTCCCTCTCACCCACTTGAACTCAACTAAGGGATAAGACAGAATTCCAACAGAATGCCAAGTATATTTTCACTCAATATTTTCCAGATACATAGTAAAGAGTCAGCCAAGCCCTCATGTACAATTGCTACCCGTACAGCTAATTGAGGGGACAATGCACATACACAGCAAGTGGTCAACCCTGCTAGGATATACATAGTGATATGCACAGAAACAAAAACAGGTAATCCAGCAGGTATTGGAACAATGGAGGACCAGTTGGCAGAGCTGGCCAATTGTGACGAGGCGTGCCTTGTGCTGTCAACTTCATGCCTCAGTTGCACCGAGCTCCATGCCCTGTGTCCTTTACACCTTACCTACCACTTTTGTCTCTCCCCCTTGGTCATTGACCTCCAGCGATTACTTGCAGCAGACACTGTCACAAATTCTCACCCTTTCGTCTGATTGGCTATTGTGTTGCTGCCTTTCCATTTGTCTCATTATCCACCTCGTCAAGCCTTGTCTCAACTACCCTTCAGATGGCCCAACCTTGGAGCCTTCACTCGAGTGCTTTTTGTTCAAATGCCCTTCGTTTGAATGATCTTTGTTCCAATCGCATCCCGCATTCAAACTGCCTTCTCCATTTGAACCTTGCTTTTCATTCGAACCGCCTCCTTCACACTCTTCATTCGAATGGCCCAACTCATGGAATTTGTTCAAATGGCCCCTGATCAAACGATCTGCCCCGTACTAAACCAGCTAGATCCATACCTCTGAAGGTGGGGCATGTCATGTATCCATATGCTAAGACAGATGTGACAAGTATAGGGATAGGCACGTCCTAGATCATGTATTTACTATGTGACTGATGTGTGACTTGTGTCAATTATGTGTCCAGTATGTGTCAGACACAGATAAATCATATCAAACAGAATGTCCATGCTTTCTAGATACTTGAGTTCTCACATTGATAGTAGAAAAGAGGATGAACCCCAATTGTAGGCAAAGAACCATCAGATCATATATACATGGCCAAAAATCATAGTGTTATATTTTATACCAATTTATCTAAGAAGACAGAAAGAATGGTATGAAGATTTAGGCCGCATGGCCAATTAAATATGGAACTATTTAATGAAAATTACCTAACCACTAATTGTTAGGAAAAGAGAAGACAAAGAGCCACATACCAAGACAAACAATTTATTGTAAGAAGGACAATTAATATAAGGGAGATGAAGAGGTCTATTAGACCATCTCTCAATTGTGCCAATATATGTTGGTCTTTCATCATCATTTCTAGAAGGACATGAAATGAATACTTGAGCTCTGTCGTGCACCTACAGTTCATAAAATGAATATAATGTTAAATCAACAAAATACTTTATATATTCTGCAAAACATTTATGAGATTGCATTGGAGATAAATTGAAATGACATTCAAGAAGCAAACATCAAGCAGTGGTACATTGGAAGATAACTTGCCACAGTCTGAGAGCTCCATACCAGAGCAACAAATTAGGGCTTGAAATGTAACGTGGGCACATGAAGTGGAGATGTATCCAAGATTCATTTCTAAAATCCTAAACATGTATGGCATAAAACTAGTGTGACAAAGAGCTCTCAGTCACCTCCTTCCTAGCAGCTCAAGCAACTGGGCACCATTCTACCCATGAGGGAGGACCATCACAACATTTGAACCTCAACCTCTGATCCCCTGAAGGCGTTATGGTTTAGCTTAATGCTGTTGCTTCATTTTGCAACTCTTTTCAGCCAAAATATATTCCTCTTCTTATATGGGCAATGCTCCAAAAACAAATTAGCTATTTTGGTTGCATGAAAATTAGGGGTGTTCACGGGTTCGGTTCGGTTCGGTTTTGGACCTAAACCAAACCGAACCGAACACGTCGGTTTGGTATTTTACAAGACTTGATCGGTTTTTTTTTTTCAAAAAACCGAACCAAACCAAACCGACTCAAGTTGGTTTGGTTCGGTTGACATGATCGGTTTTTTATTTTTTATTTTTAATTTATAAAAAATTTAATATAAATATAAATATAAATATATATATAACAAATATAATATAAATATTTATATAAATACAATATAAATATATATAAATGCAATATAAATATAAATATATATATATAATATTTATATAATATATATATTAAAAAATAGGTTCGGTTCGGTTTTATTTTGGGACAAAACCAAAACCGAACCGAACCGATCGGTTTGGTTTTATTTTGGGACAAAACCGAAACTGAACCGAACCGATCGGTTTATAAAATTTTATAACCGATTGTGGTCGGTTTGGTTCGGTTTTGAACACCCCTAATGAAAATCATACTTCTTTTGTCTATGAATGATATTTGTGCATTCACAAGCAAGAAACAAAGGCACACAACCTGATATGTAATTGAGAATTAAGTGAACCAAGCTGAAGAAACATAACAAAAGTGATGTCAGATCTAGCACATTGCTCTAACCTTCTTTGTTACAAGCATAAAACCAAAAACTTGGAGCCCAGGAAGGGGTTAGACGGAGTGCAAAGAAGCCAAATGATTATTATGTCTTCTACTATCCTCCAGCATTTTATTAGAAGTATAAGAGTAATAAATAGTCTCTCACTTGACATTTTTTCTTATAATTATCACACTAGATGGTTCTATAGTTTCACAGGTCTCACCAATTAAAAAGCAAAGACTTGCATTATAAATTCTACTGCCTGAAGGGAGGTATCATGGCAATCTGGCATCTTCTCTCAAAGAGAACAACAAGGCTTTCTACTGTAATTTCCACAGAACGAATTTAATCAAAAAATGAGAAAGCCCAAACAAATACTAACCAAACAAGTCATGTTAAAACACAAAAATTTAGGGAAGTACCTTTGGTATGGACAGAATGCTTCCTTCATTGTTTCCAGCATACTGAGAAACATAAAGTAAAAATCCAAACATCTGAACAGAAAATCATTAAAGGGCAGGAGAATGTTTAGTTGATCATATTGACAAAAAGAAAATGGAACTTTATGACAACAAGCATGAAGGTCTTATACCTGACCAGCAGACTCCATTGAAATTGGGCTTTCAGATTCAGCTACATCAATTGTATTTTTAATGTTAAGGGTATCAAGCAAATACACAGTTTTCTTTAACTGGATATGCCCATATGCTGTTCTGTTAGGATTGCGAGGAATTGAAGGAAGAGATGCCGAACTATATTTGTTTATGACTCTCCGTAGAGCTGAATGCCAGTAAATAATATATTAGAAAAACCCCATTGTTGGAAGAAAGATTTGAGAAAAAAATATCATAAGCAAAAGGGGTAACATTTGCGTACCCCCCCCCCCCCCACACACACACACACAACCCCAAAGGCCCCAACGAGGGATGCAGAAAACAATGGTTTTTAAATCATCATTGTCAAAATATCACCAGAAATCAAAACAAACGGACTCTTAGATGACAAACTTCATCCAAGAAAGCGGGGTTGAAACATAACAATAAACCACAATCTTTTATTTTTTTGTTTTTTTAAAAGAAAAAGAATCAAGTATACAGAAAAGAAAAGTCAAGAAATACCTTTGAACTTTGCATTGTTCACATCACCAGATTCCTGGATTGGCGCATCCTGAAAGAGGCATCTATTTGTCAAATAGGGAAAAGACAAGCTGAACAACTCCAACATGTAAGTTCTGAACTCTGTGCAAAGCTAAGACAACTAAATTCGGTCTTCCTCACATAATCATAAGAAGTAAGATCAGGCTTGTAATCTGACTCATTTGCACCAGTATTAGAACCGCTGTAAAATCCGAAGTTTGTTCCACCATGTGCCATCTGGAATTAGGAGAGAATAAGTACCATTACTATCATGTGGATCATCACATGAAAGCATGAAAGTTGAAACCTAGAACATACGTAAAGCACAGCAGATCCATTCCTCGACAATATTTTCTCCAAAGCAGCTGCAGTAGAAGCAGCATTTGTTTTCACGATGTTCTCTCCCCAATGAGTAAGCCAACCAGTATAGAATTCTCTGAAATAACAAACATTGTAAAAATCACCAAAGTGCACTGACAAATATTTTAAACAATTAAAGAGCAAAAAAACGCTTACGCAGAAAGAGGTGGTGATTTGCCTGGGGCATTGAACTCCTTTTGCAACTTAAAAATAGGCCAAGGATCAACGCCGGTTGTGAAGTCAACAGCTGCAAATCAACAATTATGATCAACTTAATATCTCAATTGACATAAAACAATATTCAATCACAAAATATATAATGCACAGGCTCATCCAACTAAATCTTCTAATGCACTAGTTGGTCAATGACTAAATCTTCTGTCAGACCCCAACTAATTTCTATTCAGGTTCCACGGCAAGAATAGTTTTTTAAGTTTTATCCATAGTTGCCAAAAACCACTAACACCCTTGTGAATCAGAACGTGGAAGTTCACAATCCAAAATAGGCATATCCATTCCAAACAGTGTATTGAGTGATCCAAATCACTCCCATACTTTTTCCTCGTTTACTTCCTTAAATTTTTCTTTCGGAGAAATACATTAAATAGAATGAACTAAAATCTGAGGTAGTAGAAGTTTGGAGGGTACAAAATGAACATGGTCAGGCCAGTGCCACTAAATGTGTTTTTATATAATTAATTTGAAGAAAAAACAGTTTATCTTTAATACTATAAATATAATGAAAATTAGACTTCTTTTGAAATATAAATTAACTCTATTAGTACTTGCATACTCTATAGAAGCCTACCCCTATCATATCACATTTTTAAGCATATAGCACACTGCATCCCTATTCCCATTTTGCATAACAGAATGTTAAATGTTCTAACAAAGTCTTATCTACATCACTCGAAAACCAAACCTTCAACATATCTTCCAGCAGAAATGGTTGACAAAGTCACCACTTACAAAGTCAAAAATTCCACATATCTTGTAACAGAAATGGTATATTTACCTCATAGCCAGTAACAAAGCTAATGGAGAATGAAAGGCCATTAAATTAGCTGAGTGGCTTTATATAATCTACAACATCTGCTTTCTTAACCATAATAATCAGCCTGGTGCAACAGCCAACCAGTTCATGCATGCTTAGCATCATACTTCACTCAAAATCTCTAACCTTTTAGGAAGACAATATCCTTAGGCTATGCCCATAGGTGGCTCATATTACACAGATACAAATGCTTGTGTTATCTCTAATCTAACCATTTGACTTTGTGTCAAACAAAGATATCAGACTTTGGGAAACTCTAAACTAGCTCCAGATTACAGTGGACCCAGTGACAACATCACATGATAAAGAGGTTCAAAAGTGACAAACAAAATTGAAAAGATTGTGATGACTGATAATGCTGTCAGAATAGTGAATAGTTAATGATCTCTCTCTGTCAGGTGTATTTCCTCCTAATTTGCATATCAGAGCTTGCAGGACCCACACATGCCTCACCAAGATATGTATTTTAAGAAGCTAACAAAGTTTACCAAAGTGAAAATATCATTCTTTAGACTTGCCAACTACATGAACCAACAAAAATCCTCTGCCACATAAAATAGCCTTCCCAGAATTTTCACAATAAAGAACAAGTAATCACTAAATTAAATAAAGAAGCAACACCACACTTTTTTTCCCATGATCATAGTTGAAAATACAGATTGTATTTCCTTGAAAAACAATTCAATCCTCAATACACATATATACAACCCTATTCCTTACATAAAAGGAAAGAAATCAAACATATCAAATCTCCTATATAATCTCCTAATATCTACACAATCTCTCTCTCTCTCTCTCTCTATATATATATATATATAGAAAATATATACATAATCTCAACACTCCTCCTCAAGCTAGTGCGTATATGTCATCTGAACCTAACTTGTTATATATGCATGTCATTCTTGGAGCACGGAGAGATTTAGTGAAGATATCAGCCAATTGATCATTGGAATTTACATGTGAGGTGATGATTTCTCCGGATATAATCTTTTTACGGATAAAATGGCAATCAATTTCTATATGTTTGGTCCGCTCATGAAAAATTGGATTTGAGACAATATGTAATGCTGCTTGATTATCACAGATGAGTTTCATGGAGTCAATCTCACAAAACTTCAGTTCTTTTAGGAGTTGCTTTAACCATATAAGTTCACAAGTAGTAAGAGTCATGGCATAATATTCTACTTCTGCACTAGATCTTACAACAACATTTTACTTTTTACTATTTCACGAGATAAGATTACCTCCAATAATAACACAATATCCAGAAGTTGATCTTCTATCACTAGGAGATCTTGCCCAATCAACATCTGTATAAGTAATAATGTCCACATGACCCTTATTTTCATAAATCAACCCCATTCCGAGAGAGCCCTTTATGTATCCCAGGATTTGAACCACTGCTTCCCAATGACTATTACAAGGAGAGTTAAGAAATTGGCTTATAACACTAACAGCAAATGATATGTCTGGTCTGGTTATAGTAAGATAATTTAATTTTCCTACCAATCTCCAATATCTACCTGGGTCTGAATACAGCTCCCCCTGATCTGGTAGAAGTTTAATATTTGGATCCATAGGAGTATCAACTGATTTACAATCAAGCATTCCAATCTCTTCCAAAATATCAAGGGCATACTTCCTTTGAGAGATAGAAATACCTATCTTTGACTAGCTACTTCGATTCCAAGGAAATATCGCAATTTGCCCAAATCTTTAGTTTGGAAGTGAAGAGACAAGTGTTGTTTGAGATTTTTGATGCCCTCTTAATCATCACATATAATAACAATGTCATCTACATAGACCACAAGATAGATGCACTTATTAAAGACTGAATGCTTATAGAATACGGAGTGATCTGCCTCATTACGGACTATATCGAATTGCTGAATAACCTGGCTAAATCTTCTAAACCATGCCCAAGGAGACTGTTTAAGGCCATAAAGGGACTTATGCAATCTACACACAAGACTCGACTCCCCCTGGGCAACAAAACCAGGTGGTTGCTCCATATAAACCTCGTCTTCCAAATTGCCATAAAGGAAGGCATTTTTAATGTCCAACTAGTACAAGGGCCATTTCTTAATGGCAGCCATAGAAAGGAAAAGATGAACAAATGCTATTTTAGCAACTGGAGAGAAAGTATCACCATAATCAAGACCAAAAATCTGAGTATAGCCTTTAGCCACCGAGCGGGCTTTCAAGCAATCTACTTGTCTATCAGGACCCACCTTGACAGTAAAGACCCAGCGACAACCAACTGTAGATTTTCCAGGAGGGGAAGGAACTAGGGTTCATGTATGATTGGAATCTAAGGCTGCCATCTCATCAATCATAGCCTGTCTCCATCCTAGATGTGAAAGTGCTTCGTGGATAGTTTTAGGGATAGAAATGGAAGACAAAGCAGATACAAAAGCATAATGGGAAGAAAACAAGTGATGATAGCTAAGAAAAATTGTAAATAGGATGAGGATTACGAGTAGAACGTGTACCTTTATGAAGAGCAATGGGAAGGTCATCGGAAGATTCAGATGGACCTGGAGTAGGTGGAGACAGAATCACTGGAATCTATAGCCTTTGGATTCTCAAGTCGTGGTCGACGTTGATATGTGATAAAGTGACGCTGAGAGGGAAGCTCTGGCTGGGAAAGAGATACTAGCACCTGAGAGACTGGAATAACAGATAGAGATGGATCAAGGTAAGGGATTGATAAGACTTGAGAGATGAAGTCCGATTTAATTGGCGAAGTAAAATAGGGTGTATCTTCAAAGAAAGTGACATTTGCAGACATGTAAAATCTATGTATAGAAGGAGAGTAACACCGATATTCCTTCTAAGTTCTAGAATAGCCAAGGAAGACACATTTAATAGCACGAGCAGTCAGTTTATCAAGCCCTGGAGAAAGATCATGTACAAAGCAAGTAGAGCCAAAGACACGAGGATAAACAGTGTAAAGATGCTCGTTAGGAAATAAGAGAGAATGAAGAACCTAATTATTTAAAATAGAAGATGGTATTCGATTTATTAAGTAACCAGCAGTAAGAACCGCATCACCCCAAAACTTTAATGGTGCATTAGCACGTAGCAAAAGGGTACAAGCTGTTTCAATGATATGATGATGTTTTCTCTCAGCTATGCCATTTTGTTGAGGGGTATGAAGACAACTAGATTAATGAATCATGCTATGAGATGTCATAAAAGAAGTAAAAGATGAAGAAAAATATTCTTTTGTATTATCACTTCGTAAAATGCAAATAGAGTGGCCATTTTGAGTTTGAATTTCATTGCAAAAATTTTGAAAAATGGTAAATAACTCTGAGCGATCTTTCATTAAAAATATCCAAATACACCTTGAAAAATCATTAATAAAAGTAACAAAGTACCTAAACCCTAATATAGAACTGACACAACTAGAACCCCAAACATCAAAATGAACAATAGCAAAAGGAGACTTTGCTATATTATTGACCTTACTTGGGAAGGATGCTCGAACATGTTTTTCCAGTTGACATGACTCACACTCTAAGGACTGTAAATAAGAAAGACAAACTATCTTCTTTAGTTTAGCAAGACTTGGATGACCCAAACGACGATGAAGAAGATCAGGTGATTCAATGATAGCACATATGGTTGAAGGTGGAGACTGGAGATAATATAGTCCATGTGATTTAGATTCTACACCAATCATCCATCCCGTACTTCGGTCCTGTATAAAAAAAGAGTCAGCAGTGAAGGTTATGGAGCAGTTAAGGGTACGAGTGAGTTGGCTAATAGAAATTAGATTAAAAAGACAATTGGATATAAACAAAATAGAATTCAAAGACAAAGATGGGAGAGGAGCAGCTTGACCAATGCCAATGGCTTTAGCCTTAGAACCATCAGCAAGAGTGATGTGATGTGGTGTTTTTGGAGATGATAATTTGGAGAAAAGAGAAGGATTACCAGCTATGTGATCAAAAGCACCAGAATCCAAAATCCACGATCCAACAGATGAATAAGAGAGGCAAACCATAGAATTACCATGAGTTACAGTGACTGAAGATGAAACTTGTTGGGCTGCTTTTAGTTGAAGATATTCTTTGTAATCAACTGTCAGATAATAGATTTGGTGATCATTCGCTGATTCTCCTTTCCTCTCAACACTAGATGATTGAGATTGTGCCACATTAGGGGTTTTTTCTGAGAAACCATGGAGAGAATAGCATCAGTCTTGAGTATGGCCCAAGCATTTACAATAGGAACATTGAGGACAATTACCACGGCCACCTCTACCACGACCATGTCCTCGTCCTCCGCGTTCAGCTGTATTTGAGACAAAAGTTGAGGATTTTGTACCTATTTAAGGACCAATTCCAGTTGTTGTTTCCAAAAGAGGAACTCGAAGCAAACGGTTAATAAGGTCCTCTATTGTGGGAACACTAGGATTTGTTAGAACTTGATTCCTCACATATTCAAAATCTTTGTGTAGACCATGGAGGACAAACACCATATACATTTGGTCCAGTTTTTCTAACACCTTTGGAATATCATCTCCAGTCAATATCAACTTAATCTCTTCAATGGTGGACTGTGCTTTGTTTAAATATGAGGGCAGATCATGATTTGTCATGTGGAGCGTTGCCAAGTTGTGGACAGAGTTATACATACGTTGAATATCATTAGCATAGATATTTTTAGCTTTCTTCCATATGTCATAACATGTTTATAGGGACCGAAGTGTACCAGCAACTTAGGATCAATGGATTGCCATAATAAGGAGACTAATTGATAATCAGCCCTTTTCCATTCATCCTGTTCTTCTTTAGCAATCTCCTCAGCTTTTTTGGTTAGATGGTCTGAGAGTTCCTGTCCTAAGAACCATATATCAACCGCAGCATACCAATCTAAGTAATTCTTACCATTAAGTTTTTCTGACGTAATAGTGGGACTACTAGAAAAAGCAAAAGAGATGAGTCCCTTTTTC